TATTTCCAGTATAACAGCTGCTCTAGCCCCTCCTCCAACAGCCATCTTGGCATTGATTTGTGCACCATAGCAATTTTACATGCGGCTCCATTGTGTATATGACATTCGCAAATATGTGTTTGCAGTTGTATTGTGGATTTGGCATTGGTGAATGTATGCTTGCAGCTATACTGTGTATATGACATTGGTGAATGTATGCTTGCAGCTCTGTGTATATGACATTGGTGAATATATATTTGCCGGTAAAGGCCCAAAGTCAACATAAATTGGGGGGCCCAATTTATTACTGTTAAGAGGATTGTAGAAAAAGAATAACTAGCTGGACATTGAACACGACCTATTCATTGGTACATAACATGGTCTTGTAGTGCAATAGGGGGCTTTTGGTTTGTTAGTTTGGACATACTTGCATATGTGCGCTCGAACAAGGAAGATTTGGGTATATTATATAGCTAGCAAAAATAAGTGTTAGGGGTGCTAGTACATTTATTTATGGTACTTATATAGCGCTGTCAATTTACACAGCACTTTACATATATATGTTGTAAATTCACAGTCAGTCCCTAACCCTCAAGGGGCATACAATCTAAGGTCCCTAACTTACATTGATACATATACTAGGGCAAATTTTGACAGGATCTAGTTAACCTACCAGCATGTCTTTAGAGTATGGGAGGAAACCAGAGTACCCGGAGGAAAACCACGCAGGCACAGGGAGAACATGAAAACTCCAGGCAGGAGGTGCCGTGGCTGGGATTTGAACCAACAACCCTACTACTGCCAGGTATAAATGCTAACCATTTATCCACTGTGCTACATTCAACTAGAACATGAAATAACCCCCCCCCAAAAAAAATAAATAGTCCAAATGTTTATTGATCAAATACACATTCCACATTTATTTGGACAGCAACAACAAGTAGCTACATTCAATAACTTGGTAAAAAAAAAAAAAGCCAGGATTAATGTTGCTAAAATAGAATGGTCCTGCTCATAAGAGCTTACAATCTAAAAAAGACTATACTTCTAATGAACTGTGCTTTCACAGGTTACAGCAGGAAACAAACAGTTAATATAAATCACGTTGTAGGCTTATCTATCCACAAAACAAGCTGCAGATCAAAATATCAATATAAAAATACATACGTGCCAAAATAACACCTCCCACCTCCCCAAATCCCCCACACATACATTTCTCATCATGTTTATCTGAAAACTGCATTTCAGTCTAAATAAAGCAAACTTGGAAGAGCAGAGCAATTGACATGTGTTAGGATTACAATGCAAAGATAATAAACACACAATCATTGTACAATAATACACAAACACTTAGAAGGAAGAACATGCAAACCATTTACAGCCCACATCAAAACACAGCGTGAGTGTGGCCTGGCAATTCACCACAATATCTCTTCCTCCCCCAAACCACCACAGACAAGGACTTGCAGAAATAATGTGCCTGTACAAGGCAAAATCACCCACTACTGCATCTCTTTATATAAGGTAGGCCACACCCACCACTGTCATTTATTTGGTCAGAGAAAGTGTTTGCACCTGATTAATTCTCTTCCCACCTGCGTAACCCTTGGTATACAGGCCCCACAAATCAGAGTCAGAAAGAAAGCCACAGTGAAGTGTACCTGTGCAGCATACAACAGAACATTGAACAGGGGTGTGAAAGGGAACCGTATTGGCAATATTTCTTGGCCCTATGGGCACAATTCACTCCAAGCTATCGCATGAGTTAAGGCAGTCACATGACCATCTCGCATGCAATACTGAAAATGTCAATTCACTTTTGCTAGTATGTGGGATTTCCCATCAATTGGAAAAACACTCCGGAAATCAAACATAAAAAGGCCTTACACCGCGGTCACATCAAAGCCGATTTAGAAATTGTGCGACGTACAGTGAAGATGCCGATTTCCTTGCGATTTGCAAGATATCTGACACAGATATCTATGCAAATCACGACAAAAGTAGTACATGTACTACTTTAGAAATCAGTGTCGGAAACGCACCCATGTGACCACTCTAATAGCAGACAATAGAGTGCGACTTGGCATACGATTTGCAAGTCACATGTCATGCAAATCACATGCCAAGTCGCACTCAATGTGACTGCTATTAGAGCGTTCATATTGGTGTGGTTCAAACTTGGTTGGAGCCGCAACAATTTCTAAAGTAATGAATACACTACTTTTCATGTGTTTTGCAGAGAGATCTGTGTCAGATGTCTTGCAAAACGCACTTTAAATCAGCATGTCCCCCGACTTTGAAATCATGTGACTTCACTGTAAGTCTCATGATGTGACTGTAGTGTAAATAACACCACTTAGAAATCTGCTTTAATGTGACCGGGTGGCCCCCAGTAACATTGTTTGCGATTTGGCATGACAGGCGACTTGCAAATCGTAGACCAAGTCGCACCCTATTGTCCACTGTAGGCTCTGTTCACATCCAATTGGATTGTGAACTCGTGCAACTTCACTGTAAGTTGGGCAATTGCCACATCGGATTAGATGTGACTGTGGTGTTAGCCCCCAGTAACACTGTGTGCAATTTGCCATGCACATGGCAAGTTGCTGGCCATGCCAATCGCATGACAAGTCGCATCCAGGGTGTACAATTTCAGGTGCGATTTGTGAATTGACATCGTACATGATATCGGATATAATGAATGTGAATGTGAGTGTATTAACATACACGACTTGTTGCAACACAATTTCAAAGGTAGTTCTTGTGGAACTTTTGGGCCATTTAGTAGCAATTTCACATCTAGACTCCAATAGAAATCGCAAAGCTAAACACAATTGAAATCACAACTAGTTTGAAAATCTCTAGAAAACACGGTGAAATTGGCAACTTAAAGGGCAATTTTCAATTGCATATAGTGTGAACGAAGCAGGTAAATCGACAAAGGAAATAAATCTTTAAAGGCATGCGGTACCTGCCTGCTCGGATAAGTGTCTGCTATGCATTTGGGGGAAAAATCCACGCCAGTATTTGTAACAATTTTGATGTGTGGATTCCCCACCCAAGCTTTTCTCTCTCTCTCACTCTTCTGTATGTCTCTCTTTATCACTCTTCAGTATGTATCTCTCGCTCACTTTTCTGTATGTCTTTCTTTATCACTCTTCAATATGTCTCTCTCTTTATCACTCTTTAGTATGTATCTCTCGCTCTTCTCTCTCTCACTCTTCTGTATGTCTCTCTCACTCTTCTGTATGTCTCTCTTTATCACTCTTCAGTATATATCACTCTCTCTTCTCTCTCTCAGCTCTTTGCTTGACAAATCCTTCACAAAAGGTGGTGGAGTGTAAACCAGCATTACCAAATCTATTAGTAGCCCAGGCCGTTATCTCATACTATTGTATGACATTCACATTAGGTGCAGCTTTGAAGGTATTTCAACAGACAAGGCCTCATTCTAATTCACATTCTAGGGATCATTTAGACAGAAAGCAAAGATGTTGCCAGAACATCTATTTGAAGACTGCCACACAGGGAGTTCATGCTACTTTCTCGCCGTGGTTGGGATTCAAACTAACAACCCTAGAGCTGTGAGGCAGCAGTGCTAACCACTAATCCACAGAGCTACGATGCTAAATCAGCCTGTATTTCTGTGTTGTGAATCAACCCTAAGTCCCTGGGCAAGGTCAGTGTAACTAGCCAGATATCTCATATGTGACACAAATGTTGTGCTATGTTGCCAATTCTGATGTATGTTGGTTCTATGTATCCCAATACAAAGGTTTACAATACTAATACAGGTGTACCTGGGTTTACCAACGCCTCGGGGGACGTCATATTTGGTGTACAAATGCCAAACCATTAAAATTAATTGGTCGGTTTACAAATGTTCAAATAATTTGGTTCACAACACGAAGTGTATGTCGGTGCTGATTTTTCAATGCTAATGGCATGCCTTTTTTTGTCCTTCACTAGCAGTCTTTAGACGGGTCGAACATCGGTCGATTTTTAAAAATTATAAAAAGGAAAAATCAGTCGTTCGATCAGCTGATGTTACCACCAACGTTATAAAAATCGGCCGATTTTCAAACCGTCTATGGCCGGCATTAGTCTTACATGTTTATTATTGTAGTTTAGAACAATTGTTCAGATCACTTTTCAAAACCCACCTGTGACGACAGACAGCTAATTCCAATAGGCTTCCCAGGGTCTCCATCTGCCTTGTCGTCCAGCAGTTAATCAGCTGAAAGAAAAATAAAAACATTTAGATACATAGCAGAGGTTTTTGTCTTCAGAAATCTACAGGTGGCACAGACAATAGGCCAAACTGGCCAGCTGTTCTACTCCCTCTTCACTCTCTTGCCCAAATCCACATCGTTTATTTATGTAATGTTTGATTGGCCAGGACAACTTGTTGTCATGTTGACTACACACTGGCTAAAATGGCAACCAATGCTTGGCACCCGCCCTCTGCCCAATATCCTGCTACAGGGCGTCATGAGTGCCATTCCCAAAGCGCAGTGCTACTCAAGAATGTGTAGTGGGTACCTGCCTGAGAAGCCAAAAGCTGACACAGCCAGGGGCACACACTGAAGATGGTGGCGCCAGGGCGAGAAGATGGCTGATAAAGCCAGTCATGGTGAGATTCCTGCTGGATGGAGGGACCGTTGAGTGTCTGTATTTGAAAGTCAGCAGCTACATTTTTGGTATCTGCTGAGTTTGATTGTTTAACAAATCAAATGGAAATCCTCTAACTTTGAGGACAAACTTACATTAGGTCTAATCTTTGCTCTCGGATTTCTATATGCTCTGTCAAATTGTTACTTTCTTGTTCAATAAATAAGACCTGGATTTGGGTATCCTTGTGTGGATTATTCTTGGTAATATTGTAGTCTGTTACTAACATTAATATTGTCCGAGCTCAGATATACTAGCCAATTCTATGGATTGAAAAGATATAACTTTATTTAACATAACGATTGGTCAAGACCAAAACAAGGACCCAATTGATTGCAACTGCTACAAATTTAATCTCTACCTACGACAGAATACGTACATGTGAAGTAGCGGGCGATAAGGTCAGCTCGTGTCGCCATCCCATCCACGGTACTCCGCCTTCTGGAGACCCGCAGCTGACGGACTTCAGGCTCCCTCTCCTCAGTCATCTCCCAGGAATCATTCCTCGCCTGGCAGATGTTGTGTAGGAGGCAACAGGCGAGGATGATCCTGGAACACTTCTTAGGAGAGTATAATAACTCACCCCCAGGCCTGGCCAAACAAAGAAATCGTGCTTTTAGTAGGCCCACAGTCTGCTCTACTATGGCTCGTGATTTACAATGAGCCTTGTTATAGTTCGTTTCGGCCAGGCTCTGGGGGTACCTGACTGGAGCCATCAGCCACATCAGCTGCAGATAGGCGGCATCCCCTGTGAAAAAAAGAACAAACGTGGTCAAGTAATTGCATTAGTATGGTTATATATTATATAGACGTTCAAACCGTACATTATTTCTAAGGTTGGTTTCTACCTAGACACAATTGATAGCCTTTCTCCATTTTACAGTGACCCGGTTTTGTACAATGTGAATGTCAAAGCACTTTAGAGCATGAAGTATGTGTTGGAATACATGGACCTTACTTATCTTTTTTCCACATTATCTGCTGATTGGTGCATATATGCATCTTCTTGTTTTTGTTTTAGGGCCTAGAGTCCACATCTATGTGGCGTAAGGTGAACCTTTTGGTGGGCTGAGAGGGTGTTCCCAGCACAGTCCTCAGTGGGGCCAGAGAAAGGGCTGGATGTATGCGTGCAAAGGTTAGCTTCATGATCATGTTATTGCTGTGATTGGCAAGCACAGTGGCCTCATAACCACAGGACCTGGGCCTATGTCATCTATGGTAACATGCATGTAATAGTATAGTTCATGTGTAGCCACAAACACACACAATACTTTACCAAGAAGCCAGCTGTCTGGCATTTGGCCACTCTGGAACTTTCTGTATACACCCGACTGCTGGAGGATAAAAGCATAATGGCACGACCCTGGAAAATCTGAGTTGACAATCATAATACGCTGTCTGGCATCACAGACAACTTGGACGTTGAGTGAGTGGTACTGCTTGCGGTTGCAAAAGTCCAGTTCTTCTCTCCTGGGTGCTCTGATCGCTACATGGGTGCAATCTATTGCACCCAGTATTTGCAGCATTTGTGCCTGCTGGTAAAAAGCCACCTTCACAGCATTCCACTCATCTTCATTTTGTGGCCAGTAAATAAATTGGGGCACCAGGTCAAGAATGGCATCTATGACCTGCATAAAAACCCTGGACACGGTTGGTTGACTTATTCCAACCACAATTCCAGAGGTGGTTTGGAAGCTCTCCCGACCCAAAATATAGAGGGTCGTCAGCAATTTGACCATCCCGGGTACAGCATGACTGCGCTGTGTGGTAGGTACAATCTTTTCCTCTATGAGGTGATAGAGGTGCAGAATTGCTTCTCGTCCTAAACGGAACCGACGCCGGATATCAGAGTCCCGCAAATTTTCCAGATATGTATGTTCCAAAAAAAGCCGTGGTTGGCGTAAGTGAACCAAAGGAGCTGGTTCCTGATTTGCAGGAGGTTCAGCTGCAGCTGTATCACACAACAGCTGCAGGAAAACTGTTAGTGCAGCATACAAGCATTCCTCATATGCATCACTTGGATCCACATTCCGCCTCTCATCTGCAATCTCAACAACCCACCAAAACTGTACTACATGCGCACCTATATATGCATTGATGGTAATGGCGCACAAATACGTGTCACTGGCGCACGAATATGCTTCACCGGCAACCACCTATAAAAGAGAGCACGTGGAAAGTCAGCGTTCTCATACAGCAGATGTCCATCAAGAGCATATCTAAGGTAAGCTTACAATGTTGTTAAAGAGTACATTTTTAATGACATTTGTTACTATAAACCCCCAAAAATGTGCTAGACAACACTATTGAATGCAAACAAATGTATCCTTCTCTACTTTATGTACCCATTTTTTGGATTGTATTTGTGCTTTCCATTTAGCTCATTTCAGCTGTTTGTAGAACCTCTAGTGTGCCACTGCCCAAAAACATTTATTTATGTTCTAATGTGTTGTTTGCCCAAACATAGTATTTTTTGCCTCACTTTTGTACTTGTCTTTTTTCTCTTTTGTAGTATTGTGAAATTAAAAAAAAATTGTCTTTGGTAAGTGTGGTCCTACTAGGGCATGTGCTGTGGTTGGAGGGTGGAGCACTGACTTTGACCCTTGTGTCTTTTTTCTCTTTGCAGTTCTCTGAAGCATTTCCCCCACACCCCCAGGCAGGGGCAAGTTCCTATTTTGTATGTGTGGTCCCCACTAGGGCATGTGCTGTGGTTGGAGGGAGGTGCACTGACTTTGACCCTTGTGTCTTTTTTCTCTTTGCAGTTTCTGATGCATTTCCCCTACACCCCTGGGCAGGGGCAAGTTCCTATTTTGTAAGTGTAGTCCCCACTAGGACATGTGCTGTGGTTGGAGGGCGGAGGACTGACTTTGCCCCTTCTGTCTTTTTTTTTTTCTCTTTGCAGTTTTTGTGACGTTTCTCCTCCCCCCACACGGCCAGCGGCCAAAGAATTTGGTAGGTTTTTTTTTTTCCGGTAAGTGTGGCCTTTCCTCCAGGGCATGTGCTGTCTTTTGAGGCCGGACAACTAACCCTTGTCCTTCTGTCACTTTTTGTGTTTCAGATTCCTTTGGCTTTCCCAGGTCCCTGCTGCTGCAAACAGCACCCCTGCCCTCTTGTCCTCCCATGGTGGTGTCCACCGGGGCACTGGGCCTTCCCCTGGGTCAGTTGGCAGGGGGGCCCAGGAGGATGTTAGGGCCAGGGGGGGCATGGAGGGCCGGGGGTCTGGCTCTGGTGTGAGGGGGCGCTGGTGGCAGAAGGAGCCAGGCTTCCTTCCAAGAAGAGGCGGAAGCTGTGGCTGCTGCCTCCCCTTCTAGTCCTGGTGAAGGGACATCAAGGGGAGGCAGACGGGGCCGGGCCCCAGGCCCCTACCGAGCCAAAGTTTCCTCCCTTCTCCCGTGATGAGACCTGGGCCCTGATCTGTGCTTTTAGGGAAAGGGCAGATGTTCTTTTTGGGGTCCAGGACCTCCCGCAGCGGTCAGGCGGCCAAGGACCGTCTGTGGGAAGAAATCGCGGTGGCCATGAATGCAGTGAGCAGGATGGTACGCCGGACCCTACCAAACCTCAAGAAGCGTATGCGTGATCTGAGACAGAATTTCAAGTCTAAGTTGGCTGAGCAGGGGCTTGTTAGCATCGATGGTGTGGATCCTGGCCATCTTCCGCACCTGTCTCGGGAGGAACAAGCACTTCTGCCACTCATCAGCATGTCCACAATTTTGGGGGTGACAGCTCATGCAGATTATGATGAGTTGCAGAGTGGTAAGTACACTACACATGTCCATATTGTCTTTAAAGTATGTGTTATCTTTTTTAAAAGCAAAGTGTGTGAAATAGTGTAGCTTTACATTTGTTGTTCATTTTGTCTTGTGTTATAGCCCGTCCCGAGCCAGGTGCTGCCCCTGTCAGCCCGTCAGCCCCTCAGATGACACAGATCACGCATACACTGAATGCACCCTGTAATGTTGACCAGGCTGCTAAAACATCAAACATCATCTCACATGTCAATGTCCTATTCACAGCACACCATCAGCAGGAGGAGGAGGAGCGGCTCCACCCACTGCAGTCAGGCCAGGAGGAAGATCTGGGTATGTATTAATGTGCTTGCCTAGAACAATCATAATCACTCATGATAAGCCTATGAGCATCCTTTTAGGAATGCAGAACAAACCAATGCTAAACTCTGTCTGTACACAAATATATCTCCACAACACGCTGTATTTCTTTGGGCCTCCTCACTGTACTGCACTCAAACCCCTAGAGAAATCAATGTGAAAGTGTTACCACACAGAAATGTATCTAATCCTTGCCAAATGTTGTGGGCCCAGTTTCCCCAGACCAAGAAAGTCAGGTAACCCCACCAAACCAAATGTGGGAACAAACTGATGAGAGCAATAAAGTTCCAAACATCACTAACTAGCTGACATCTCCTGAGCTTTCCAAATCAGACTCGCCCTCGCAACTTCAGAACTTCTCCCAGACACAAAAACATTCCACTCATGTAAACACATACACGTAATCTGACCAAGGTCAAAATGCTCAACTCTGACAGTCCCAGAATATCCAATGTGTCAGGTGTTTAGTGACATGCATATATCATGCCTGCTCAATATACAGGAAATGATGTGCTCCACTACAGGGACCCATCACTTCCCAATTGTGCCTCTCAACTTCAGATTTTTGGCCACACAAAGGGAAGATCTAACACACTTTGGTCAACACTATGGTTGCCAGAACTGGCAACATTCCTCAAATTCTCTTGAAATCAGTAAGTATCATATTAAGGCCGCAAGTCTCCAGGCAAATCCGTGTTAAAAGTCAAGTCCAAAAGAGCTCATGCTTGTTTACATTTCCATTCAATGAGTTTATTGGCCCCCTTAAGGATGCTGATTTCCAGAGTAGTGTTTGTACACTTGTCACCCGCACTGTAGTTGTCATTTGTCTACAGTCCGGGGAGGGCATCAAATGATGCCCTCCCGCGTGCCCCTGGGGGCTCACACCTGCCGACCTCTGTGGCCTTTACCACGTGATCATGGCAGATCAACTCTCAATGCAATTGCCAGTTATCGGCTGCACTTTCCTTACGCTGTCATTGTGAGGAATGTACTGCAGATAACTGGCAATTTGCAGAGGCTGGCTCGCCACAAATCATCAGGGCTCTGATGATCATTGCCCTGATGATCAATGCCCAGCAGGGCCACCAGTCAGTGCTGCCTATCAGTGGCCATCATTGGTGCAGATCAGTGCTGCCTATCCGTGCCACCTCATCACTTATCAGTCTCATCAACAGCTCAGTGAAGGAGAAAAGTTACCTGTTTGAAGAATTTGATAAGAGAAACATAGTTTTTAACATTTAGGTGGTTATGCATTTTTAGGGCAAACAAAAAAACACACCCAGCAGCCATTAAATATCCCCCAAAGCAACCACTATTTGTGTGAAAACAATGTCATATGAGTACAGTGTTGCATGACCACAATTGTCATTCAAAGTGCAACAGCACTGAAAGGTGAAAATTGTCCAGCCCAGGAAGGGATTTTAACTGGCCAGTAGGCAAGTGGTTCAAAAATCCGTGCTGACACGTCTTCCAGTAATATCTAGTGTGCCCTCTCTCCTGACTTGTTTCATTATGTGATCTGGGCCTTAAGCCTAGTCAAACTGTAGAGGTCAACATCAAGAAATGTAGCTACTCACCCAATTGTAAAGTTCAAAGTGACTGTGTCCATTTTACCATAGCTCAAAATGCAGAGGCAAAATCACAGACATACCAAGACTGAGTATTTTTGGAGCCATTTTCCCAAAGGCAAAAATACCAGCCAGATCACGATTAAAAGCACACACAAATGTCAATTTTCTAAGTCCCGAAAAAGGAAACTCCAGGGGCAAATCATTTTACAGTGCCCCCCCCCCCAAAAAAACAAAGTAAGTGAAATAATGTTTTTGGCCTCTCATGTAAACATGGGGCCAATAATTAGACTGCTTGAGTTTGGCACATCACATGACTAGCAGGAAGATCTATTCCTTTGCCAGACCTATCTACCCAGATTCTTGGCTTTGAAGTTGCCTAAAGCCCAAAAGGCATCATAAAGACTAATCTATTGTTCATTGACAAATACACTATATTGGCAACACTGTTGGGATGCCTTCCTTTCTGCACACATGAACTTGAATGGCATTTCAGTCTTAATCCGTATGGTTCTATATTGAGTAGTCCCGCTGTTTGTAGCTCAAACAGCTTCAAATTGTCTGGAAAGGCTGTTTAATCTTTTCGGATATTCTTAGACTGGCACATGAGATTTTTCTTTGGCACATTGAGTTGTCAGGAGACCTACGTTTTAAAAGTGATTCAAGGATTTTTGTATGCATTTGGTCTTGATCTCCACAGTTGTATCAACAATTCTTTGGGATGCATTTCATGCGTTGGGCTTCGTAAATATTTTGGGCCACATTTATATTTGATTGTAGCATTTTGGGTTTGCATTTAAGCCTTTTTGGAATGTTGCTTTAACAAATGTTATATCTTTGGATTAAATGTTTGAAGCCCAAGGTCTAAAAGCCTGCAGTAGCTTATGGGCATATTGTAGCCATCCTAACACATCTGCCTCCTTGTTTGGCCCACTAATTCTTGTGGCCCTGCTCCTGAGCCTTACCATGCCTCATTCTACTCTCAGTTTCGTGGCCTGTGGCTGCCAATGTCCTATTTCTTTGGATAAACTGTTGTGAAAAACATAACAATGAGAAATCCCTCAAACCCTGAACAAAAATGTCAGATCATACATACAGCCTAACTTGTATCTGTTGCTAATCATCTTGAAATCTATATTCAGATATTTTTGACCTGGATGCCCCAGCTGATAGAGTGGGAGAACAGTCTGCATCCAATGTTGGGGTATGGGAACTGCTGTAATGGGGTGGGATATTCAAATGCATGTTGCATGTGTATTTGGGAAATGTAATGCCCTTTTTTGTTTTTTTGTGGTGCAGGGAATTTCACACACTCCTGTATTCCATCAAAGTCCGTCACCTACACCTGAGTGTGCTGAACCTATG